ACTCACAACATCGAAAAATGCTTTAATTCGGAGATATGGAATTTCAAACTTGCAGTTTTTGGATTCTAAGGGGCTAATGCATTGGTATGCCCCCTTAGAATTTGTGACGTCAGCGGAGGTCTAACGATTTTTAAATCTTTTACTAAAACGTTTGGTAGCACGCGGTGGTATATGCTGCTTTGCGCGCAACAAATGCCGCACATTCAAATAAAGTCGCTAGGAACAGCGGAGATCCCAAAAAGTAAACAAAAGTAAAAGTCTAATATCTTGAAAACCGGTGAATATTTTTCGATGAAATTTGGTAGATATTCGTTTTCGCTCTTTCTGAACCGAGCGACATCACTTTCATGCCAATTGATTAACTTTTTTGAAGCAAAGAGGGTCCCTTTAACCCTCGCCCGTATAGGGGGGGGTCGAACGGACCCTCCCCCATGGTTTTTCGCGAATAACTCGCGTAAAAAGCGGCCGATCGCGACGAAACTTTCAGTACCCTCGCGTTCATCAATTTCACACCTACCCTGAAAATTTCATGACCCTGACCCAAATGACCTTTGACCTGTGACCTACTTTTCGAGACCATGTTTGGCTGGAATCGCGATTCGGCGTATGTCGGCTCGCATTAGCCGCGCGTTTGCAGTCTTTTCGTGGTTTCAAGCGTTAAAACATGTGATATGATGTTGCCCCCATGCATTAGGGTGGGTGTCAAGGTCACCTGAAGGTCAGGTCAGGTCATTGACCTTTGATGACCTCGGTTCACTTTTTCGAGTTTTACATGTTTCTAGGCCAGTTTTTGGAGCTGAATTCGAATTTAGCAACCATATGAACATTTACGAAGTAGTTTTGGTGCCTTCGTAACATGTTACGAAGCTGTCAGAGGCGGTTGCCACCTACTACAAATACCCTTACTGGTTGACCTGACCTGACCTGACCCGGCCTAAATACATGAAGACATCATCTGTGATCAAAACTAACATGATATTCGTGATCAGCACCCCGAAAAACCCCATAGCAGCCACACTTAACGACGTTCTAACAGGTCCCGATTTTCCCGCCTTTGGGGTCATTGACCTGACCTGCAAGGTCAACCAATGACCTAGGACCTTAAAATTGGGTATCATCGGCTTCCTCTCGTCACGGGCAACACGCTCGTTTTTTCCGCGAAGCTCTAGCTCGATCAGGGGCGAAACGGCAAGGGGGGGTCCAACGGACCCCCCCCCCTCCCCTTATACGTTCGCGGCTGGAAAAACACCAATACGGGCGAGGGTTAAGTATGCCTAATGGAGAGGTCGCAAAACTGACCTGACCTTAGGTCACATATCAAAATTCCGAGATATACATTTCATGAAATTGTTGCTTTCATCAAACGCTGAAAGTTTCAAAACGATCGTTCAGGCGGTATAGCAATGGTGAGCATTTGAACTTTTTCTGAGGTTACGTCATTTGGCATGACCTGGTGACCTGACCTTGCATCACCCGGGTCTGACATTTTTACATGTGCAGAAAAAATGCATGATAAGGTATCCTGAAAACGGCGGCGCTGTGCGCAGCCGGTTTTAAGATATTGGCGAAAACCTGAGGGGGGAGCGTGACAACGCCCCCCCCCCCCAGCACGGCGTGGGTTTTAAACTCTCGATTTTGACGACGGTTTGGCGCCCCTCGTATGAAGCGCCCCCGGATTGCCAGGTCGCCCTTATTTCGACTTGCCGCCCCCCCCCCCTCCCGAAAATTCCTGGATCCGCCCCTGGAAACAAGTGTAGCCATTCTAAAGAAAATATAATCGGGCGTGCACGAGTCGCCGTGCACACAGGGTGCTTGGGCCAGACGGGCGTCGTCCAGGACGCAGCGCGGGTCGGCGGCCGTGTAACCGGACCGCAGCTCGCAGTGGCAGCTGTAGCTGGGCCGGGCGGCGGCGGCGCTGCGCCTGCAGGTGCCCTTCCTGCGGTCCGCAGGGCGCGCCCAGTCGGCACGGGTCGCGCGGCTGCTGACACAGCGGCCCACAGTCAGCGATAACCGTGGCGGTACGGGACCGCAGCGGCCACCATAATAAGACCACTACACTCCACACAGGTTAGCCTGCACGCAGCTCGGGTCGTCCAGAGAACGCATCTGCCAGTTGCAGCGCGTCTGGCAGCTGCAGCTGTCGGCGACGCTACTGCGCTCGGCCCGGTGGCCAACCCGCCGATATTGGAGCGCCTCACCGCTCACCCACGGGTTCAGAGGCTCGGCACCCACCAGTTGCGGCCGGAGCGAGAGTGCGTTTGCGTCGAGCACGCTGCAGCGGCCGCGCAGGTAGTCCACCACGTGATGCTGGTTGTCACCAAAGATGGCCGTGTCAAGCCGCTGGCCCAGGCGCTGCCGCGATTAACGGTGCGCCGAGACGGCCGAACAAGCACCAGCTCAACGCCCACTGCGGCAAGTGGCCTGCGAACTGCGGAATGCACATCCCTCCACTCAACATCTTTTTGAGCATGGAAATCGTCCTTGTCCCAAGTGGTTTCCCCCCGCCCCCCTCCCCTTCCCATAATGGACAGCTGGATCCGCCAGTTAGTTTTTGCTAATATCATAAAAAGGTAGGTATTGGCCAGCCTCTGGCATCAGACACCAGCGCCCAGAAAAGAATGTTCTTTAGGGGTCTGAAGCAGAATCAGTTGCAACTTGCAATTGTAATAATTCGGTAAAGCAGAGTCCTGTTTGGTTCCAGTCCACTGAAGTTCTACACAGTCAGTCTGCAAGATTTATTTCACAATAATTACCTGTGATTTACACACAACACAAATGCTATAGGTACCTGGTGCATAGCAGTTACTGAGAATATTACCTTCTGAAGATGGAGAAAAAAGATAAGATCTATGTTCTATGCAATTCAGAATCAGTAAAAAAAATCATTGAAGTTAGGAAGTTAGGAACTGCCCTTGTAAACATGTACCTATACAATGGCACATGGCATTAAATACAACACAGTTTAACTTGGGTGATAAACAAGGTAGGTACTTATAATACTTTATGTTTTGGTAAAAACTGACCTACATTATTCACACAAAAACATAGGTAGGTATTCATTTCACTGAAAATTATCTTCCATGTACAAAGACCCCGTTCAAAGCCAAAAGTTCGGTTTTTGCCCCCCAAACCCAAAAGACTTTTTCATTGTGCGTAAAAGCAAATCTTGTCACCAACCCCAAAAGCGACTTCTCGCTAAGGTAAGGTCAAAAGAGAAATTTGTCCCAAGTCTAAAAATTATTTGTCGCGAAGCCCACAAGCTGCTTTAGTCCCTAAAATCCAAAGCTATTTTTCCTCTATGTCCAAAAGCAAATTTTGACCCCAAACTCAAAAGTAACTTGTCGCTATGCCAAAAAGCGGCATTTCCACAGTCAAAATTATTTTTCACTAAGCTGAAAACCTGCTTCAGCCCCTAAAATCCATCAGTTATTTTTCTGCTATGCCCAAGAGCAAATTTGACTCAAACCCAAAAGCGAGTAGTCGCTAAGCTCAACAGCGAAATTTATCCAAAGTAAAGAAATTATCTGTCGCTAAGTCAAAAATCTGCCTTAGCCCCTAAAATCCAAAAGCGACTTTTGACCCTAAATCCAGATGCGACTTCTCGTGAACTCAAAAAATGACATTTGCTTAAGTCAAAAAAATTATTTGCCGCTAAGCCAAAAAGCTGCTTCAATACCTAAAATCCAAAAGCGACATTTCCGCTATGCCCAAAAGCAAATTTTGGCACTAACCCCAAAAGTGACTTGTCGCTAAGTTCAAAGGCGACATTTGCCCCAAGTCCATAAAAGCATGTCGCAAAGTTCAAAGGCTGGCTGCTTTTCACCCCAATATCCAAGTGACTTTTTTCTATGCCCAAAAGCAAAGTTCAACTTGTCGCTAAGCCCAAGTGACTTACCTACTGATGGGTCAAGAACTGACTTTTGGCCCAAGACCAAAAAGCAAGTTTGTGCGGAAGTAGTGTAGCAGGTGTCACACTTTTTTTGCAACCAAGGGGAGGTGCTGTAGGTTCAGTCGGGGAAACTATGGTAAAATCTGCTATTTTTAGCAGTCTGCTATTTTTAACAGAAATCTGCCAAAAATGGGTACGCATGTGACGTCACCGTACCCAATTATAGCAGATTTGGGTACAGCCCCATACAAAAGCAGATCTGCACCCTAATTGAAGCAAATGCGCATCAAATGCCTGGCAGGTTCATGATGAGAATAGTGCTGAGAATGTCCTCTGATATTTTTGTTCAGATCCGACTATTTTTAAATAATGAATTTGAAAATAGTCGGATCTGAACAAAAATATCAGAGGACATTCTCAGCACTATTCTCATCATGAACCTGCCAGGCATTTGATGCGCATTTGCTTCAATTAGGGTGCAGATCTGCTTTTGTATGGGGCTGCACCCAAATCTGCTATAATTGGGTACGATGACGTCACATGCGTACCCATTTTTGGCAGATTTCTGTTAAAAATAGCAGACTGCTAAAAATAGCAGATTTTACCATAGTTTCCCCGACTGGGTTAGGTTGTAGGTTGTGGGTTTCAGGTTGTAGGTGGTAGGTTTTAGGTTGTAGGTTGTAGGTAAGGTTAGGTTAGGTTTGGTTATGTTTGGTTTGGTTAGGCTTGATAAGAAAGCTCTCTGGATATAGCGCCTCTCCTTGGTTGCAAAAAGGAGTGTGACGCCTGCTTTACGACTACTGTTTGTGCAATATCAAACACCACGCATTTTACCTAGGTATTTATTTACAAATATAATCCCGAGGCTGGATTCAAAAGTTAACGGGCACTAAATCTGGATGCGATACCTACTACAAAAGAAAATACATGAAATTGCGCCAGGATGACAAATTACAAAAAAAAATGGAACAGCCATTTGGCTCATTTTTGAAGAACAGTCATTCTTACGAGTTACAAGTCAATCTCATTTATATAGTTTTTGTTTTATTATTTTGTTGTAATGTTCATAAATCATCCAGACAAATCCTCAAATAAATATTTTCAATGTTACCTCTCTATGATCAGAAGTACTATATCATTCAAGCCGATAGGTAGGCATTTTCAGGCATTTTATATTTAGCAACTGCCGAGACCAAAACGACGCGGGCAACAAAAGAAACCGTGGGGATAACGTAATTTTGGGTCATTAGATAGTCATAAATGGTTTTAAGTACAAGGCATCAGAATATTTAACACTCAAAACAATTCAAATTAGCATTTTGATAGATAGACAATTGCCTAGTTCTTACCGTCGAAATCAAAGTCGTCCCGCGCGCGAATGGCGGACTGGTAGTTGATAGAGCTGGACACCAGTACTTCTGGATGGGCGTGCGTGTTGTGATTTCAAGGTGCCTATTTACTACCTATTTAAAAACGCTAGGTATAAATTTGTTATTATTTAATCTATCTGCCACCCAAAACCGAAAACATTAAAATATTTTCATTTGTACATGCAAAATACCTACCCACTCCATCATCACAAAGTACCATCTCTTTCATACGTCATCAATATGGCACAGCAGAAAGCTGAAATGCCCGGCCGATTTGTGTGAACGCGAGGGAAGTCACGTGACCTTGATTCACACTCTTTATGGCAAAATCCAGTAAAAAGGGGCCCATCTGATATTTATACAGACGATATATCACGACATAAGGAAGGCGTTGTGATGCTCAGCATAGTGGTGCCCGATTTTCGGGCACCACTATGCAAACGGGCACCACTTCGCGTAGGTGTATCGGACAAAGGGCACCACTACGCTGGTCTTACAAACGCACCCACACACACACCACACACACACACACACACACACCACACACACACACCACACAACACCACACCACACACACACACACCAACACACCACCACACACACACACACACACACACACACACCCACCACACACACACACACACACACACCACACACCACCCACACACACACACACACACATCTGCAGTAGGTGGTCGCAAGCTTTCGGCGCAGTTTCCGTATATGTAGATATACCTACTTAATTATAACAGGCAGTTTCCGCTAAACCACTTGCGAGGGCGACTGCGGCGTCCACCCGTCCTGGTTTGTATAACTGTTCCATTTTTTTTAACCATTTGCTCTAATGGTACGTACCTGAAAAAGGGATTAATTGGTTTAATTTACAATTTACATTGCATGCTTGCTTTAAAAAATAACTTATTGTTGCATTGATACTGTAAAAGCACTTCTCATTGATCCGTATAAAATGTTCATTCGATGTTCAAACGACAGAGAATGGGCGGACAGAACAGAGAATGGGCGTGCTCGGTGATAAGTAGATAAATATTTGTGTTTTGTATTTCATTTTCCTGGTTCAGGAGTGCTGGTATTTCACGAAGATATAAAGGCATGGAATGCGGCTTTTCTGAGCGAGGGTATGAGTCGCCGGGCTGAACAGCTATTCAGCTTCATGATTGTTTGATGACGTGAAACTCAGTCAAAATCATGACATTTACAGACGATCAAGCGCACCATTCAATACACTTACCTACCGTAAAACTCCATGCCAGTCCACTTGATAAGAGCAGTGAGCACTATCCCTTCTTCGCGCTGTCACACGCGCCCAAACATCAACCACCAAATGCCCCAACACCGGTGTGTCGTTTCGTCGCACAGCGCGCAGACTGTCACAAACGCTGCACATGATTGGCGCAGAAATGCGCATGCGCGAACAGCCGAACAAGTATGGCTAAGCTCCGGCTTTACTCCAGTTAGCCGAAGGACACAGCCAGCTTGATCAGCCCGCGCTCCGCCCAAGTTAAGCCTGTTTTGGATGCGCGGGCAGATGTCGGGCTGAGCTACTGCTATCCGCACGTGGGCATAGCTGCGGCATGCCCTAGCTCAGCCCTAGTAAAAAATATCCCTCGCCCGTATTGGTGTTTTTTCCAGCCGCGAACGTATAAGGGGGGGGGGGGTCCGTTGGACCCCCCCTTGCCGTTTCGCCCCTGATCGAGCTAGAGCTTCGCAGAAAAAACGAGCGTGTTGCCCGTGACGAGAGGAAGCCGATGATACCCAATTTTAAGGTCCTAGGTCATTGGTTGACCTTGCAGGTCAGGTCAATGACCCAAAAGTCGGGAAAATCGGGACCTGTTAGAACGTCGAAAAGTGTGGCTGCTATGAGGTTTTTCGGGGTGCTGATCACGAATATCATGTTAGTTTTGATCACAGATGATGTCTTCATGCATTTAGGCCAGGTCGGGTCAGGTCAGGTCAGGTCAACCAGTAAGGGTATTCGTAGTAGGTGGCAACCGCCTCTAACAGCTTCGTAACATGTTACGAAGGCACCAAAACTACTTCGTAAATGTTCATATGGTTGCTAAATTCGAATTCAGCTCCAAAAACTGGTCTAGGAACATGCAAAACTCGAAAAAGTGAACCGAGGTCATCAAAGGTCAATGACCTGACCTGACCTTCAGGTGACCTTGACACCCACCCTAATGCATGGGGCCAACATCATATCACATGTTTGAACGCTTGAAACCACGAAAAGACTGCAAACGCGCGGCTAATGCGAGCCGACATACGCCGAATCGCGATTCCGGCCAAACATGGTCTCGAAAAGTAGGTCACAGGTCAAAGGTCATTTGGGTCAGGGTCACGAAATTTTCAGGGTAGGTGTAAAATTGATGAACGCGAGGGTACTGAAAGTTTCGTCGCGATCGGCCGCTTTTTACGCGAGTTATTTGCGAAAAACCATGGGGGGGGTCCGTTCGACCCCCCCCCCCTATACGGGCGAGGGATATATTGGTTTTGATCAAAGTGGGCAAACCCAAGCTAAGCCCAGGCTGCCCGACGTTTGCCACAGTTCAGCCCAAGCGAATTGCTGGCTGGGAAAAAGCTTTGCCTGAAAATGACTCAAGAAACAGGCCAGAGCCACAGGTCAATGAGAATGAGGGTCAGGGAACAGGGTATTACATTTTCAGGATTGTGTAGAATTGAAGTGATCCGACGAGAATACCTACTAAAACTTTTGCCACGCCGGGCCATTTTTATGCGAGTTATTCGCAAAAAACCTAGGGGTGGGGTCTATCATACCCCTCAATAAGTGAGAGGGCTTATCACTGCTAGTCCCAAACACTGGAAAAAACTTTATCGTACTATTAAGAGAGAGAGAGAGAGAGAGAGAGAGAGAGAGAGAGAGAGAGAGAGAGAGAGAGAGAGAGAGAGAGAGAGAGAGAGAGAGAGAGAGAGAGAGAGAGAGAGAGAGAGAGAGAGAGAGAGAGAGAGAGAGAGAGAGAGAGAGAGAGAGAGAGAGAGAGAGAGAGAGAGAGAGAGAGAGAGAGAGAGAGAGAGAGAGAGAGAGAGAGAGAGAGAGAGAGAGAGAGAGAGAGAGAGAGAGAGAGAGAGAGAGAGAGAGAGAGAGAGAGAGAGAGAGAGAGAGAGAGAGAGAGAGGAGAGAGAGAGAGAGAGAGAGAGAGAGAGAGGAGAGAGAGAGAGAGAGAGAGAGAGAGAGAGAGAGAGAGAGAGAGAGAGAGAGAGAGAGAGAGAGAGAGAGAGAGAGAGAGAGAGAGAGAGAGAGAGAGAGAGAGAGAGAGAGAGAGAGAGAGAGAGAGAGAGAGAGAGAGAGAGAGAGAGAGAGAGGAGAGAGAGAGAGAGAGAGAGAGAGAGAGGAGAGAGAGAGAGAGAGAGAGAGAGAGAGAGAGAGAGAGAGAGAGAGAGAGAGAGAGAGAGAGAGAGAGAGAGAGAGAGAGAGAGAGAGAGAGAGAGAGAGAGAGAGAGAGAGAGAGAGAGAGAGAGAGAGAGAGAGAGAGAGAGAGAGAGAGAGAGAGAGAGAGAGAGAGAGAGAGAGAGAGAGAGAGAGAGAGAGAGAGAGAGAGAGAGAGAGAGAGAGAGAGAGAGAGAGAGAGAGAGAGAGAGAGAGAGAGAGAGAGAGAGAGAGAGAGAGAGAGAGAGAGAGAGAGAGAGAGAGAGAGAGAGAGAGAGAGAGAGAGAGAGAGAGAGAGAGAGAGAGAGAGAGAGAGAGAGAGAGAGAGAGAGAGAGAGAGAGAGAGAGAGAGAGAGAGAGAGAGAGAGAGAGAGAGAGAGAGAGAGAGAGAGAGAGAGAGAGAGAGAGAGAGAGAGAGAGATTTCTATATTTGCAGACTCGAGGTCCAATAAAAAGGTACCTACATGTAAGTAAAAGATCACTGATCAGTGATCGGCTATATGCTATATTAAGCTCAGCCGCACTCTTATTTGACCGTAGAAAAAAAATTCCTCTTCAAGAATAAACCCGTCTCCCTAAAAAAAAACATAATACTTCTCCGTGTTGAACCGTAAGCAATGGACTTTGAGACTATAGAGGGCGACTGTTCGGGCTGTTTCCTTCTCAAAGTGATGCCCCGTTCGGGCTTCAGTCGGCTCTCGATTATAAAATCTGCAATATCTGACCTCATTCCGCGGCTCATCCTAGGCGGATCTGTAAAAAAAAAAAAACCCTGTAGATAAGAAACCAACGATATAAGGAAACTAAAATTAGTAACGTAGTGATCATGGAGAGAGTCTGGATTGTTTGGTTGGCAAGTTTATAGTGAAATTTCCTCGTTTTTCTACGTGATTTGCTTAACTGCGTGCCCCCCCCCCCCCCCCCAGTGACGCGATTTCAGCTCCACTGGGGGGGGGCCAGCGGCATCACTGGGGGGGCTGCGGCCCCCCCAGTTAACATGTTAGAGGAGGCCCTGCAGTGTGGCTCCTATCCTTCATCCCTTAAAGGGACCCTCCCACCTTAACATTAGATTTGAGTTGAGATAGCCAAAATCGGGTTCCTGGCTCACAATTACCGGTTTCGGCACTCACAACATCGAGAAATGCCTTAAATCGGAAATATTGAATTTCAAAATTGCAGCATTTTGATTCAGAGGGGCTAATGCATAGGAATACCCCTCTGAATGTGTGACGTCATCGCAGATATCTAACAATTTTTAAATGCTTGACTAAAACGTTTTGTAGCACGCGGTGGTATATGCTGCTTTGCGCGCAACAAATGCCGCACTTTTAAATAAAGTCGCTAGGAACAGCGGAGATCCCAAAATGTAAACAAAAGTAAAAGTCTTATATCTTGAAAACCGGTGAATATTTTTCGATGAAATTTGGTAGATATTGGTTTTCGCTCTTTCTGAACCGAGCGACATCACTTTCATGCCAATTCATTAACTTTTTTGAATTTACATGTGACGTTTGGCATGTAGAAGGCAAGTAGAAGGCCCACTAAGGGGGAGAAGTTCCAAATG